TCATCACAGAGGCGCTACCACCATCCCCAGCTGGCTCAGCCTGGGCCAGAGGCGGGTCTGACTGGGAGCCAGGGAGGCTTCTAGCAGCTTCTCACAGGAGTCTCCCCACTGCCCAAACCCCGCCACACAAACCCCGTACAACCTGGCAGAGCACAGGAAGCAACAACTAAAAACATCAGTGTAGCATCAGTGTTGGTATCATAGTAAATCCCAAAACATAGCACTATACCAGCTACTAAGAAAATTGACCCCATCCCAGCCAAAACCAGGACAAATCCAGATAAAGAAATGAGTAGCAAGAGGATAATGTTTGTCAAGAATAAAAATTCCTAAAGGCCGAAAAGGTGGGGCACTAACTATGAAGAGTTTCAAGACAACCTTATGTATTAAATACCTAGGCAATAAAGCAGCAAGTGAAGTGCAGGGTAGGCAAGCGTGAAGTGAGGCACAGCAAAAAAAGCAGTGCTGTCTGTCTGATGATGATGGGTCTCCATCACCTTTCACCTTCCAGAAAAAGTGCTCAGAAACACTGTGGATATTGCCATGACACCAGTAGTTCTACAAGCAGTGGCAACCAAAGAGCAAGTGAATGCCAGTAATTATTAGAGAAACAACTGAGATTACCAGTATGTTGCTGGTAATCCCCAGCACACTGGCTTCTCAGACATCGCATGCAGAGCTAGAATAACATTGTAAAAAGGCTAACTCAAGGCACGAGGATGAGCTGAGTGTGGAATAGCACCACAAAATAGATCAGACTAGAGTTGGGAAAAATGAGGCAACTGGGCAGGAAGGGAGTGCGTGATAGGGACTATACAACCACGAAGGGTACAGATATCTTTCTAAGATATGAAACAACCACCAAAAGCAGGTGGAAAACAATCAAAAGGAAGTAGTTCTTCATAAATGTCATTAAACTGAATGTTTAAAATTCACATAGGATTAAAAAAAAGGAATAAAACACAATTCTAGAAAAATCCAAATAAAATCCAGAAAATCCATCAAGACCTACTGAATATACACCATCTGTGTGTTAGAACATTCCCAAAAGCACAAATTTCTGGAGGTGAGGAGAGGATTCCTACATGTTTACCTGCTCTTCAGGAGACTTCCAACAAGTGCCACTGCTGGAAAAAGTTCTTTGGGCCTCGTTTAGCAGGGCTGCTCTTCTGTGTGCTGGGCTCTGCTTTGGTTTAAAGTAAGCTCGTTTTAAACACTGCTCGTTTAAAGCAGTCTGCAATTTAAATGTCAGAAATCACGCTAGGTGCATGTGTGTGAGCACGTGTTTAAGATGATGTGTTTGCAGGACAAATCCAGAAGAGATCGAAGCCTACCTGGGAACAACATCACTAAATGGAACAGACGAGAACGCAGTGAAAGTCAATGTCACAAGAGTGATCCAGCATCCCCTCTTCAGCCCCGTTCTTCTGGACTTTGATGTGGCTGTACTCGAGCTGGCAAGACCTCTTGTCTTCAACAACTACATCCAGCCCATCTGTCTCCCACTTGCTGTGCAGAAGTTTCCTGTTGGCAAGAAATGCATAATTTCTGGGTGGGGTAACCTCCAAGAAGGGAACGGTAAGCAGTGATCCACTACCAGCTGCTTTGCTCTGGAGCAGTGACCGACTGTGCCACTGCCACCCAGACAGTCCTGGGAGCATACAGGACAGGAGACAGTAACAGGGACAGTGAGGAACTGACAGAAACACAGGAATAAGCGAGCATAAGGGCACACAGCACTCCCTTAAACTGCAGTTATTTAGGAGCCACCAGCAAACAAGAAAATTGAGAGAGCAGCTTGGCAGGAACCAGGAGAAACCTGCTGGGCCCTCCTCAGCAGTTCTCCCACACTAAGCAAGAGCGGGGCACTGCCTCGGTGGCCCATGGTAGCTCTGGCAGGACAGTGTGTCAGCCTCAGCAACCACACTCAGTCACAAAGATGTTCCAAGCAATTGGAAAAAGCAAAGATCTCTGTGGGGAGAAAGCCTGAGGGTAGCACATACTACCAAGGGAGCCCTTACTGTCCCTCGAACAGTTGCCCAGGAGCCCACAAGTTGTCGAGAAAAGAGAAACTTGCTGCCCGTGTGCAGTGTCCTTTGTGCAGGTGTGAAACCACACCTGGGGGTGAGCCAGGAGCTTTCGGGCTGCTGAGAGAGCAGCTCGTATAGGACCCAACTCTGTGGGATTAGAGTCTGTTTTCCTGAAATACGTGTTGGGTCAGTCTAAAAGCCATTAGTTCCCACTTCCCTCTGCTGCACTACTAATCCTGTGGTTTTCATGCAGTCACCGAGCCTGAGATCCTGCAGAAAGCCTCCGTGAACATCATAGACCAGAAGACCTGCAACTTCCTCTACAACTTCTCCCTCACTGACCAAATGATCTGTGCTGGCTTCCTGGAGGGGAAGATAGACTCATGCCAGGTAAGAGTCTGGGATTTCTCTGCTCCTCTGCGGATTTTTCCAGAAAACTGGGCTAATTCAGCAGCCTCAGCACATCCTTGGGAAATACTTGCTGAGCTGCCATGGCCAGGCTGTAATCCACACGTACCTTAGCTCAAAAAAAACAGCCTACTGCCTTGGAGCTTTAGAAAAGTAAATAAAGCTCCATCGAGCTGAGCGTGACTTAACTCACTGCTCTGTCCGCCCAGACTGGAGTCCTGGATGAAGCAAGTCTCCTCCTGCTGCAGTGAGACGGTGGTAGCTGGTGGTGGCTGAAGGTGCTATCAGGAGCTACTAACAAATGCCACTTTTATCTCTGCAGCCAGGTTGAGCCGCTGACCCCAGCTGCAGCCTCTGCGTACTGAGGTGTCGCGCACACACACACTGCATGGCAGCAGCCAGCCTTGCGGGGCTGGAGAACCAAGAGTTTGGGGCTACCCAAGTCCTCCCAGGGTAGCTGAGGGGCAGCTCCATAAAGACCTGTCTTGGGGAGACTGGGCTGAGCCATTGCCTTGCTTCTTCCTCAGGGAGATTCGGGTGGACCTTTGGCTTGTGAGGTGACCCCAGGAGTGTTTTATCTGGCTGGCATCGTCAGTTGGGGAATTGGTTGTGCCCAGGCTATGAAACCTGGTGTGTACTCCAGAATTACCAAACTCAAAGACTGGATCCTGGACACCATCTCACAGTTGACCAGTCCTGGCTCAGGCACCCCTTCCAGTTCAGCCATCACTAGAACTTCTACTGCAGCCATCCTCACCCGCCAGCTCAGCACAACAGCTCCAAGTCTAATCAACAGAACCACCCTGGAGATGAAGATGACCACAGCCATGAAAGAAACCTCCACAGCTCTGAAAACCACTGAGCCTGCCAAGCCCACCAGGACCCCAGGTAAAACTGATGACAGATTTATTGACATGTTGGTAGCAGACCTCCAGCCCCAGCACAGGGGGTACTGAGCAGGTCACGGGTTATTGCCTTCCAGTGGTGCCTTGTACCAGCCAGACTTTCAAGTGTTCCAGCAAGGTCTGCATTGGAAAACAAAATCCTGAATGTGATGGCATCGTTGACTGCAGCAACGGTTTTGATGAGCGCAACTGTGGTGAGTACTGCTGTGCAGCCCGCGACTGGTGCCCAGCCCCATTCTGCATCACCCGGGCTCTCCAGTGCACCCCACCGCCTTCACATGGGCTGTCCTAGACCCACATTGTGAACTGGGGGCCTGGGCCAGCCGCCGGCGGTCCAGCACCTACTTGGTCTGCCAGAGCCTATAACAACATAAAGCTGGATGAGCAGAGTCCAGATTTTCTGTCAGGGAACGTGGCCTTATCTCCTACGTGATAACCATTAGAACCCATGTCCCAGCACACAGGCCCTCTGGCCACTCAGTTTGCCAGTACACGCTGGCGAGACAGCTCTGCACAACACGGCAGCCTAGAACATGTCTTGTCATTCCTGGGACCACTCCTTGGACTGCACATTCCTTTCTGTGTGACAGCTCAGCCAGTCCATCCAAACGTCCCCCCCTCACATACCACATCCCTGGAAGGTGTGATTTGTGACAAAAAGTTCCCAAACCTTGCCGTCTGCCAAACCTTGCCTTAGATGGGTGAATGAAATTCATCACACCCTGCTGCCCTACGTGTGTGTCCCCATGGAAAAGGCTATGGAAGGAGGGCAGATCTCTTTCAAAGCCATGGTGCCTCTTCTTCTGTCCCAGACTGTGGCTTAACAACTGCCCTGGCCTTCAGCAAGATTGTGGGTGGCAGCACTGCAGCTCGAGGAGAATGGCCCTGGCAAGTCAGCCTCTGGCTTCAGCGGAAGGAGCACAAGTGTGGGGCTGTCCTCATTGCCGACCGGTGGCTTCTCTCTGCAGCTCACTGCTTTGATATGTAAGTCTGAGATGGGCTAGTGAAGCCAGTTGGCTCCTGGCCTCACTCCCGCCAGCCCACCTGCCCCTCCCCTTCCTCGCAGTCCAGCAGCACAGCTGGGATGCTGTGCCCCACGGGAAGCACATACTCCCTATTACAGGTGTGCCCCTACAGGTAAGCATGAAGAGGGATGAGTAGAGCAAAGCCTGGGGATGTCCACAGTGTGGTGGGGACACGAGTCTCGGCCTCACAAGGTGTGGCCACAGTGCATCCCAGCCCAAGTGGAGGAACAGCTCTCCTTGTGAGGCTCCTAACAGCCAGGTTTGTTGTCTTTCTGCAGTTACAGTGACCCCAAAATGTGGGTGGCCTTTCTAGGAACACCCTTCCTGAGTGGCATCGATGGCAAAATGGAGAAAATATTCCGTATCTATAAGCATCCTTTTTACAACGTCTACAGCCTGGACTACGACGTGGCACTGTTGGAGCTGAACACGCCCATCAAGTTCAGCAACACCATCAAACCTATATGTCTCCCAGACAATTCACACATCTTCCATGAAGGATCCAGATGCTTCATCACAGGCTGGGGCTCCACGAAGGAAGGAGGTACTGGCTGAGAGGGCTTCCTCACATCCCTGACGGCCAAGCTAAGTGCCACCTACCCTGCAAGCCCAAACATCTGTGATTCCCACTCCACTGCCCCAAGCACTTCCCATGCCAGGCCAGACCCTGCAGGGGTATCACCCTGGGCAAGGCCTGGTGTCACCGCAGTCTCCTCCCCAGCCGCCACGCACTGTACTCCTCCGTTTGGTTACACTCCTGCCCTCCCGCAGCCTCCCCTTTCTCCATCCAGCCACTGTGCTCCCATCCCTGGAGCAGCTGCTCCAGCTGTGCTGCTGCCGTACAAGGACCACCGTGACACCATTTCTACCTGGTCAGCCAAACTGCCTCACAAACTACGCACCAAAAAGGACCTTCCTGTGCTTGCTCTGCTGGGGAGGAACTTGATTCACTTTCCCAGAGCAGGTCTCTCCCTTTGGCAAGCAAGAAAGGCCGCAGAGACCCTGTTCCTGCACATGCTGCTGCTCCGCACATGCCTCAGCAAGCTAACCAACACTTTTGTCTCCCCAGGTCTCATGTCAAAGCATCTGCAAAAAGCAGCAGTGAACATGATCGGAGACCAGGCCTGCAAAAAGTTCTACCCTGTCCAGATCAGCAGCAGGATGGTGTGTGCCGGTTTCCCACAGGGCACCGTCGACAGCTGTTCAGTGAGTGCAAGAGCAGCAAATGCTGCAGCTGGGACGGAGCAAACCTGTGCCAAGTCCTCAGGCTACGTTCTCTCAGGAAGGCCTTGCCTTGTCTCCCCTAGCTCAGCTGCCTGTCCAGCCATCTCCACTGGCTGTTGCCATCACCCAAGTCCATTCTGCATACGCCTCGTTCCGCTTGCCCCACCAGCCTGTGACAGGTCAGGGAAACATGCAGAGAGGTAATGCGAAGAGACCACAGGGATACCATGGAGCCCATTCCACAACCCTGTTGTGCCTCCAAACACACTCTCCCATGTTCCAGAACCCCAACCTCAGATTGTGCATGCAAGTACATCACTGAGCAGTCCTCCAGCTTGGAAGCAGGCTCTTGGGGAGGTGGGGAACAGGACAGCAAATGCTCCTATGTCCCAGAGAGAAAGAACTTCTCACAGCTGGCAGCGGAGGGACAGGGCTGGGCTGCCTTTTTCCCTTGATACAGGATCCTTTTCCTCTCTCCGCAGGGTGACGCAGGTGGGCCACTGGCATGTCAAGAACCCTCAGGGAAGTGGTTTCTGGCAGGAATCACAAGCTGGGGCTATGGCTGTGGCAGGCCATTCTTCCCTGGTGTCTACACCAAAGTCACAGCTGTCCAGGGCTGGATTGCACAGAACCTCAAGCTCTGAAGCTGTATTTTGCCACTCAGGGAAGGCAATGAACAAGAGCAGTAACTGCCAGAGGATGCACGAACCCCTCGGCTATTGTACTTTTTTTTTTTTTGATGCTGCAAAGGGGTGAAGATGGCCTGCCAGGTATCCAGCAAATGCCAGTGTTGTGTGCCCCACTGCAGTTGTGACACCAGGGCATTTGATAACTGCTTTGCATAGAAAGCTACAATTCTAGACATTTTCTATAAATAAATGAAGCCTGTCCCATCTTAAGACTTGGACAAACATCCTACGCATTAAAAGTTGGAGGGGTTGGAGAAACATCTGCCAGAGATTCATGTAGTTTGGCTGACCTCTGTCTATGAGCTGTCATCCCAAAGCCAAGCCAAGAAACAAATGAACTTTGCCCCAGCCCAGAGTTACATCCTTGCAGAAGCCTCAGACATCATGGCCTTGATGGAGCTTTTATGTTGTGCACTGACTTTTGGAAAGGGTCACTACTGTTCCTATCAATGCTTGGTACTAGTAAGCTCAGTGATGACCCCCTGGCTCATCATTTGATCACAAAGAAGGCAGCACTAAAACACTGGGACTTAAGACTGCACAGGCCCTCATGTATTAGACAATCAGGACAGGCTTCTCACACCCCTCCACAGCCCACTCCCTTTGCATAAGGGAACAGGGCATTAAATTGACAAAGATCAAGGCACAGCCACACAGACCACTGTTCTGGTTAAGCCAGGTGGGAAAAATTAAAAATGCTGAGATAGCAGCCGAAGGATACAACTCCTTCACGGTCAGTCAGGTCCCACTAGCCAGCATAAGACACACAGACACCTTTGCTCGCAAGAAAAAACTGCTGCAGAGCTCACACATCAAGTCTTAAGACAGACTCAGACATCTCCTTGTAGATTCAACCGCCACAAATGAACAGCAGATAGTACCCCAAACGCCTTTTCTAGGCTTTGGCACTTAAGCTCTGCATTTGGGTATAGCAAGAGGTTTATTCTTTCCCAACACAGCTGGCAGTGAGATCTACCACTTTCCCAGCTAGGGAACAAGGTGGGAGATCTGGCTTCCGGGCATGGCTCAGCTCAAGATGGGTTCAGATCCATGGCTGGAACATTTGTGGGATGCTCCCTCCATCAACGAAACAGGACTGCTGCAGAGCCAGCAAAATTCCACAAAATTCATACAGCCATAAAGAAATGTAAAAAGGCCCCACAGCAAACATGGCTGGAAAGCACTTTATTTTCAAGTAGTCATTCTTCCCAATTCGGATGGGAAACTCCAGCTGAGTTTCAGTTAGTCCAAACACACAGTTATCTCCTAATAGTTTACCTTGTGTGAGAACACTTTAATCCCTTCATAGAAGCTACTACATTGGGAGATTAAATGAAATCAGTCTCTCTCACACCCCTTTGAATGTCCTAGCAGCTAAGCAGACAACATCCTTCCAGTCTGTCTCCATGCCCCAGCAAACAGTGAAATAATTTGTAAAACACAGAAGAGCTTCAAAAGAAGAAAAGAAAGTTGGAGGGGTTGGAGAGATCTGCCAAAGATTCATGTAGTTTGGCTGACCTCTGTCAGCTTTTTTCTTTTTTTCAAAAGAAAAAAAAAATCTCACTACAGGAGCATGAGCACTTCTAATCTCCAACACTCTCGTCTTCCAGCTGCTGTGCACGCTGCTGACTACACCATAAATGGATCTTTCTGCGAGAGGTGTGTAAGCTGAGAACAGTATAGAGCTCAGCCTCAAAGCACACCCAAGTCCTCTGGTGTGCAGAGGTCCTCTGGTTGCAGAAGGCCTCTTCCCTCAAAAAAATGGGGGCATAGAGGTAGGCTCCAAGATGGAACATCTGTGCCAGAGCAAAATCAGAAGTTACAGAACATCATAGCCACACAGCACACTTTATTCTATACAGAAATCAACCCAAGTACTTCCCAACCCTTTTCATCCTCAGCTGTGGTTGAACTGCTGAGGCTCTGCAGCAAACCTAATAAGAGCCCCCCTGCTCCCCACCACACTGCTTGAGCTGTGTCAAAGCCTCTGAGCCCAAAAGTGAGCCCCACACACAGCCGTACAAACACAAGGGAAGGAAGAGCCAAGCACAGCATGTGGAGCATCTTATGGCAGCTTTTCCACTGATGAGAAGGGACTAGGACTACCTGATGGCTGGGTCCATGCTTGCTTCCTGGGCAAGGGGACTGTGTTGCTGGCTTGACCTCCCTTTTCCACAGAAGGCTCCTTGCCTCTCGCAGCCCTTTGGACAGGGATTTATCAGCTGCTATATACCTTGGCCAGTCTGGACCGTTGGGAAGGGCATGAGGCAAACCAAGCGGCTCACGGTGGCTCTCAAGGCTGGAAAATTCACTCGCTCCTGGGCCTGGTGCTAATAAAAGCCAATGGAT